TGGTTCCAGGCGAGATGAGGTTTGTACGTCATAAGATGGTCCGTTTTCAGAAAATACTATTATTTATGTCCAAAAATAAAACATTCCAGTTGATTTCTCGATCGAATTATGTCGTCAATCATTATTTATGTATAAATGGATCATTATAAACATGGTTTGAGTTGAGAGTTCTACGAAGAGGGGTGTACACGCCCATTACATGCACCATAAATATCGATAAATTCACCCACACTGTGACGCCACTGGAAATTTTAATTTGAATCTAATTGCATCATAAGAAGTCTTATATTACTATTAACAAAACCACAACGTTTTATTGAAATTTTTTTGGTGTTATTTAGATATCCTGTATACCTATGATGGAATGAATAAAATGATTCATCTCAAAAATCGTAATGAATTGTAGATTTGGCAGGGGTGCAACAGAGGTCCTTATACAATGTGATTCCTTCTTCGTGGTCGAAATAAGCAAAATACATCATTTCAACAATTACAACTATTTAGTTACTCTAAGGTTACTACTACCCAGTAGTAGGTAATAGTTGCCAGTTCATTTTCATGAGACTCATGAGAGAACAGATCCTCTTTGTCTGCTGTTCTAATTAGCTTTTAATGATGCGTTCTTCATCAACATGTGTGTTAATCATCATCGAGTAAAACAATAATTGATGTGTGTATATGTGAACGCTACACACAGACATATACACATGCGGCCCAAACTGAGCATATCAAACATAAATTCGTTCGTATTTGTCTAAGTTAACTCCATTACCGTGTACGGTAGGGTGCGATGAAACCGGAATATTGTTCCGGTACCGGAATTCTGGCAATTATGTAAAATACTATATATAGGGCGGGCCTACAGGCGATGCAATTTAAAGGTAGTCATAATAAGCATTTTGCGCAAATTTATGTCTTGAGATGTTTTGCAATATTTTCTTCTTTATTTGAATTAGAATTAACGATCTGGCAGTTGGGATCAGTAGCGTAGCTCAGTAAAAGATGGTTCTTCAATGAATTCCTAGAAAACACAGTGATATTTTGTGAACAACTTTGGAAGATACTAGAGGGTGGCCATATTCGACTGATCCGATAGCAGAAGGTATCGGAGGTCAAAGAATGTTGCGATGTCCAAGGTTGAACAAAATGAATTGAACATTCAATGATCCAAAGGACTGTGGTATCGTGTGCAATTAAAATGCAGGTGTTGTGTCAAATCTACATAGGCTAGCCATATTGATTATTCAAACAAAAATCGAACCTAAAACTGACCCCTGGGGAACTTCCTGCACAATTCTTCTCTTCTTCTGACGTGTTTTGACCCAATGATTTCGATTTTTATCAGTGAGGTATGATCTGAATCAATCTAGAGCTATACCTTGTAGTGAGAAAGCCTCTCCAACAGCACTTTATTCCATGTACTCATTCGAGGAAGTTGAGAATGACGTCATTGGTGTTTCTCTCATTTTGAATACCAAACTGTTCGAAAATTGGTCTGAAGCTAGTTTATGATACTCAATAGCACCTTCTTCTTGTAGGAGAAACACTTTCGCAGACTTCAATGTAGTATAGAAAAGATGCCTGTAACAAATGTACTATAATACCAAGGTACACACAGAGCTTCATCTGAAAAATTCGAAATTATTTCGGCTTCACCAGGAGAATGCTTATTCTTAATTTCTCCTTTACTACCAGGACATCTACCGGAGACATCAGACATGCAGTGCATGCAACAGTCTCTGTGTTGATAGGGGTATAGTTCACAGAATTGATTGAGGGGATCAACTCTTGGAGAAATATCCCGAGGTGGTTGTTCAACTGTTGAACAGTAGTGTTTGTTAAGCAGCTCGAGGTTAACATTTATTGAGGTATAAAGGTGCTCAATTCTCCAGATCCATTTTTCATAATAACTCAAAGGTTGAATTTTTTGCATTTGAATTCGCTAAAAGATATTTTCATCTTCAAAAACGCGAATTGTTTGGTAATTTCGTCCATTGTCGCGCTACAGGGAGTTGAATTAATTATTCCTATAATCATATTTTATACGCTACTGATGATGAAGATTGTTCTTGAGTTATATAATTCCCTGTTTGATTTCCTATGACTTTCAACTGTATCCGAAATATTTCACCTTGAACAAAATCTTGCATTAGCATATTTCATAGTTTTCAATAGCAGATTATTACAAACATATTTCCTGGGTGCATGGTGAGTTGACTAGATAAGTACTTTCTTTGAGTAATCAATCAATCATATTATATTGATACTTCTCAGTTTTATTTTGTAGCTGAACAGGAATATTATGTACTTCATGCATAAAAAACAATCACGGAACAAAATTTTTATTATATGTTCATGGAGGATATAGGGAGAATAGTGGTATTGAAATTGTGTAACTTTAGGAAGTTATAAGTTCTTCAGGTACTTTCCTAGGCAACAAAATATAAATATTTGTCGTTCTACAGACGAAACTATCCAAATCCATCCAGGGTTGACTGTGCTTATTGAAATGCTTTAACATTTGTTGATGTGTCTAGAATGCAATTGACCAAATAATAATTCGAAGAGGTAATTGGAATTATTTTTATATCTATCATGTTTTCATTCCGATCCAATTATATTCATATCCGTATCCGGTATATGATGTATCATAGCATGGGCGTACGTTCAGATGATTATTAAACCTATCTGTGTGTCGAAAATTTTGAATTTGCTGAAGATGATCTCGTACCATCCATTAACTGTTTCATTCAAATTATCGGTGCTATTTTCGAAAGGTACACCGAGAGAAATATCAGCTGTGATACGAAACTGTATAACCTTCAAAAGGCGCCAGCATAGTTCCCTTTTCACTATAATCAAGTCCATCATTTCAAAAAAATCATATTACTGATGTGAAACAACACTTATATGAGAATGAAATGATGCTCATATAGGGGTCAAATGATTAGCATTTCAATATTAAATAGTGATATTATAAAAATGAAATAGTACTCATATCAATATAATTTGCTTTCAATTTGATAGTTAAATGATTGGCATTTCTGTATTAGTGTGACTAATTTTTTGAAGTGGGTTGAAGATCATCGAGAAATATTGAAAACATATCGACTTATTATAAATACTCATCCCCAAGTAGAGCTTTTTATTGAAACTACAGGGCATTGAAGTGCATCATAAGGATGAGATACTCTGTACATAATATCCCAATTTGCCTACGTGAAAAATGTTTTCAATTTGGAGTATCTGATCTTGTCACAACATTGGATTATTTGTTAGCCAAAAATGACGTCAGTAAATAAGGGTTCACGAATCACGAAACGAAAACGAGAAACCGTTATTTCCTCTGATGAAATGTTGGCTAGTTGTGAATTTTGAAGCAGCAAATACAATTATACGAATCAAATAAATACTTATACACCGTGTCCAAGATAAGGAAACGAAGACATCTTTATCTTGGACATACTGTATACGCAATACAATCTATCATCGATATAACTGTATGAATCCAAGCTCTGCCACTATAGTGCGGTAGTTTAAAAATACAAAATTTTATCCAAATTGGAAATATTATCGATACGTTATCAATTTATCGTGAAAACACTATAACGCCCTGATGCAGTTCAACTTCCTGTAGTTCCTGGAACTTGGGGTAATATGAACAAATATGTTCCTAAAATTCCTAGAAGAACCTTCAACCACTTCAATTTTTCGAAAAAAAAAATTATCACCCTGTCAGAAGGGTTCACGAGCTACTGCGGGCTATAATATGTCCTTACATATCAGGCATCCGTAGACGACTAACGATCCTGATGGCTCAAGTGTTCATAAGTGAGTGAGATGAGTGATTGTGGTGAACGAGTATGACAAAGATGGTAAATGAGGGAGGGATGGAACTTGAATGATATACTTGTATAAATGTGAAACGACATATTTTAGGATTCGAATGATTATCTTTCAAATTTCATCTTTTAACTATAATCTTGTTCCATTTCAAATCTATGAGGTAACCTTTTCTAAACAAAAAGATTGATTTGGAAAGGTTCCTGTTTCATGTTGAAAACGTTGACTCTTCACGTTCATCAAATGACATTTCATGATTAAAATGTGTCATTCAGCAGTTATAGGATGTTTTTGTATAGGGACTTGTATAACTGGATTTTTCTCGGTATAGGTTCAAAGAACCCCGAACATGAGGTAACCGGAAAGTTGGTGCATAAATACACACCAACAAAATACATCCACTACTACTAATAATCTTTAAAAACAATTGAAAAATACCGAAGAATCGAAACTGAACAGCTCAAAGTTTTAAAATCTATTCTGTGAAATTATATCAATAATAGCTTCTTGTAGAAATTCTTGGATATCCAGAACCCTGTTCTCCTGTGCTCAGGCATAAAAAAAATTGAATATAGTAGGAGTCGCCGCGGAATCGTATCCTGTGGGATCAAACACCCTGTATAGGATTACCTACAGAGATAAAGTCGCCAAGCCCAGTCATCAAATCCTTTCGTCGTCAACCTCGAAATATGTCGAACAACTCCGTACCAAAACTTGTCTGTCTATAGAACGGCAAAGATTAGGAATTCTAAGGAAAATGAAGTATTACCAAGATAATAATCTCCAAAAGTTCTGAAAAATCTTAACGCCTACCATATCTCCCTATCCTTCCTATAGGCACGATGTTCTTCGGACATAATGAGGATTCCCTTTCGTGTGCTCTTAGAGATAATAAAAATCCCAGTATATTTCTAATATGCCTGGGCAGGATAAAAAAAACATACGGTCACATAGGAATAACTTGAATGCTTCGAAATTATCTCATTTTCACAAAGGACAATGAAAACACTGCGCTCCAACTATGCATGCGATATTCAATGCCAAATTGATCATCTATTCTCTCATTATTATCATCACTTCGATATTCCCTTTACGTTTATCTCTCTCCATAATTCCTGGTCCATCGGATAACATTCATTCACTGAATGCCTCTGTTAGTTCAGCAATAATAATATTGGATCCTGTTCAATATTTTCAATGGAAAGGAAAAATGTTATTCGTCCTCTTGATCGGAGTAATAAGTTCTATTGATGGCGCTTCTATAGTCAATGTGAGTATGCGTCATGCGTGAATGATGGTATTTTTGCTGTGAATGTGCATAATAAAATTATGGAGTCGCTCGGAATCTGAATGTTCAAAGTGCCAAATTGAAAAGTTGAAATAAAAGCGAATAGAGCTACTACTTAGATCCTATATATTCAATACTGTCATTCTATCTGAATATGAAAATACACTCAGTTCCAAAAAAAGTGACGCACTTGATATTCGACATATCTTCTTAAAAAAAAAAATTGTAGGTAGATTTTTATTTTTTTCTTTATTTGTCTTGAAAAAAAATGAAGTGGTGAAAATGTTTTCAAAGCCTCCTTGATGGTGGTGAAATAACTCGAACCATGATTTATTCTTAATTTTTGATTCATCCTGTGTGTTAATTGAGTAATGGCATAGAAAGTGCTTGCACCCTATACGGAAGAGGCTGCTTTTGCGAGCATTTTGTTTTTTTATTCATTGATTTATCTCTAAAATTTTCCGAATTTCAGCTTTTTTGCTGATACCTTACGCTTATCCCACAAATTAAATTTATTGAAGGATCAAAGTACTCAAAATTGATTGGGTTGTGCTCTGGTAGGATCACATTATCTTTGAAAAACAAATACCGTTGCCATGGCAACTAATTTGTTGTTTGGTTGTATGCCTCCATATTTGACCATTCGTCGTTGTGTCATTATTTAAGTGTCTTGTTTTATTGACTAAAATTACATAAAATGCCTCAAATAAATCCTGACCAATTAGCAAGATTAGTTGCGTTAGTAAACGATGGACGTAGTAAACGTTACGCCGCTCGTGCAGTGGGAGTTCATGAAGCAACTGCTCGTAGAGCAATCCGCAAGTACGAACAAACAGGAAGCACCGCTCGGAGGGTCGTTTCTGGTCGCCCCCGAAAAACTTCTCCAAGAGATGATCGCTTCTTGAGATTGCAGATTTTACGGAATCGATCAAATACTGCGGTAAATAATCAGCAAGATCTTCGCCAAATTCGTGATGTTGCAGTAAGTAAGCAGACGGTATGTAGACGTAGATCCTTCAATGAATTCAATTCGTGGGATAAGCGTAAGGTATCAGCAAAAAAGCTGTAATTCGGAAAATTTTAGGGAGAAATCAATGAATAAAAATTCAAAATGCTCGCAAAAAAAGCCTCTTTTGTATAGGGTGTAAGCACTTTGTATACCATTACTCAATTAACACACAGGGTGAGTCAGAAATTAAGAATAAATCATGGTTCGAGTTATTCCACCACCATCAAGGAGACTTTGAAAAAATGTTCACCACTTTTTTTTTTTTCAGAGACAAATGCATAACCTACCGACAAATAAAAAAAATCGGTCTAATATTTTTTGTTTTTTTTTTAGAAGATAGGTCAAATATCAAGTGTGTCACTTTTTTTGGAACTGAGTGTATGATGACAATAGTTTACACATTTTATCCTCGATTTTATCAGGCAACTGACGAAACATTGTTCTTTCATATGTAATATGTAATATGCCACAAGTGATACTATTTTGCCGGAAATATTCGGCGATTGTTACGACAGCTTGTGGCCTAATTATTGCGCGAATGACAGTGTTAATCAAAACTTTGGAGCCGTAGGCGAGAAGTTTTGAATCAATGTCATGAGCGAAATCAAAGCAGCAAGTTGGAGTATGTAAATCGACAAATATATCCAGGAAAAAAAGGCATCATATGAATATTCCATGATTGAGACAATAAACGAGCGCCTCGCGACAGTTGCGAACCCTGCATCCATCATTCTGGCTTCCAACGAAACTGATGTAATAAACGTCAAAACTTCAATCGTTTTAAAACGAGGTTGTGTTTTTTATATTCTGGTTTCCACGAGGAGGGATATCCTGTAATGTTCAGAGAACATCGTGAGAACCAAGACAAATAAGGTAGGAATTGGTGTTCTTCTTGAATTTCTGGAAGTTATATGCTTCATGGAACACCTCCCTTGGCAATTTGTTCGAGAGCTTCGCTGTTCGTTGGATGAACGAGTCTTTGGAAAGAGATGTTTTGCAGGTCTACAAAGTGTCTACGAAGGGGTGCGAAGCTTCAACTCGAAGGGTAAATCTCGCGCTGACTGCCAAGGGAGGAACAATTGTTGATATTTCAGAAGAGTATCGTCCATGGAAATATCTCTAAAATAGAGCCAGATCGCCAACTTTCCCACGGTGTTCCAGAGAAGTGAGTGAGTTTGTGAGAGAGGCATCACCCACGAGACGAATTGCCCTTTTTTGGACAGAATCCTTCAGTTTCAGGGTATGTTTCGGTGCTGCACTCCAAATAAAGAGATGTCCATCAGGACAGGTCGGATCTGTACCTTAAGCAGCTGACTGGAAGTGAAATAGCTCCTGGCCCGAAACAGAAAACCAAGTTTTCGGGATGCACTTTTAGCAATTGATCTCACGGGATTTTCCCAAGAAAGGTTATTGCTGATAGTAATACCAAGCATCGAAATGGATGTCTTCAAAGGTATTGGTGGAGCTAGTAAATTCAAGCAAACAAAAAATATCGCTGGAATACAGGAGAATCTGTCAAAATGTTCTAATATATGATTTGGTTCTCAAGAACAAGAGTGGAATGGACAGGAAAATAGTTGCGTGGTTCTCTTTGCCAAATGATAAGCTGAAGCATCGTTTCATAGTAAAGTGTATTTTGTTTTTTTATATCTCTTTGAATAACGTCAGGAAAAAATAAGAAAGAGATCGACAAATTTCGGTTTTTAGGCATATCACCAAAACACCTCGAAATGAGCAACTTTTCTCTAATTTAACCATCTTCGTTTCTCTTATTGTTCCCGAAATCCCCATGATATACATCCTTATCTAGGAAACACTATACCGGGTGTCAACGGATCTATTAAACAAGTCCTAACTTCTAGACCATTAGGTGTATAAAAATAAGATCTGGTATTGGTAAATGATATGTGAAGAGGAGAGTTTTCACATATTTTTCACTTCCTGGTCACTTCCGGTTTCACCGGAGATGGCTCGGGTTCTAAATTTTTAAATGGAACACCCTGCATATTGTAACATTTTTGGATTTCTGAGACAATTCTAGATCAGAATGTGACATTTCCGAAAGATTTTATGCCTATTCAATTTTTTCGGAGTCACTTTTGAAATCACATCTAGGTGGTCATTATCGACAAGTATGATAGATATATGAATAAGACAAGTTGGCAAAATTACATAATATACATGATATTATACAGGGTGTTCCATTTAAAAAATTAGAACCGGAGCAATTTCCGGTGAAACCGGAAGTGACCGGAAAGTGAAAAATATGTGAAAACTTTCCTCTTCACATACCATTTACCTATACCAAATCTCATTTTGACACACCTCATGGTCTAGAAGTTATGACTTGTCTGATAGATTCGTTGACACCCGGTATATTCTTATTTTAGGGGAATCATAAGGCAACTGAGCCAAGATTGGGTGATATACCGTTTCAAGCTGGGCTCATGCTGCGTATCAACCAATCATATTTGACAATTTGTGGTGGAAGCTTGATACATCCGAGATGGGTTTTGACAGCTGCCCATTGCTTAGAGCAAGATGGTCAATTTTTTCCCACGTAAGTTCAGAAGCTGGCCACTATGTTTGCATCTAATTCGGCTCATTCATATTGCCAAATTAGGGAAAGGTGGATTGTATGCTTCATTGTCTTGTTGAAACATAAGATATGATTGTGTCATTACTACAAATATTCATATCACTGAATTTTTAGGATTCTTCCTCTTTGTATAAATGAAAACTATTTTTATAACTTTGGTAAGAAATCAGGCGATTTGCCTTAAAATGTCATGTGGATTCAAAATTTCACTATTAGAAATCTGGAAGACAAATTCTATCACTCAAGGTTGGTAGAACTGATTATAATTTGTGCGTGGCATATAGCCAGGAAAGTAGTTGTTTTTCTCTCGTTATCTACCATTATCGTTCATTTTATGAACTAGTATGTGGTAATGACTTTGAGTTTCTCTCTCTTTGTGACCATTGCATTCCACTTCGAGTATTTGGCTTTTTTCCTAGTTGGAAATCCTATAAAGTTTAGAAATCTCGATTTTGAACACCATATATCTCTGTAAAAATTTCTAATAGACCCCAAGTGTGAGGTATCGATGAAATCAGCTCTTCAGGTGGAATCTGAGAATGCAATAAAATACAGGGTATTCTATTTGAAATAACAAAGTTGTTGCTACATTTTGATAGAAGCGCCACACTGCATTGCTGAAAATATTTTATATGAAGACACCGTATTCTGAAGTATGAGCATGCATATTTTCATGGATTTCTCCCGACTGATTCTCGATAAAGAGATAGTGTCGTACTTACCCTGACTTACCCTGTATAAATAAATACGATAAGTTTAATTGTACTAATTATTATTATTATCATTATTGTTATGAGTAAAATAATATTGTCCCTTCCTAACCTCAAAATCCTCTGTGTGAGAAATACGTCAGTCAGTAATCTCTGGGCCAACAATGAATAGGCAATAAATGAAAGTACTGCTTCGCCAATATTGGCGTTAAGTCGGCCAGTGGGCAACTTTTGTTATTTACTATTGAAAAATTCCAATATTGAGCCAATGATAGTTCATTGGGGTGACATTGCTATTAAAGTGATGGCGCATTTATTAGTTTGCTGGGTACTGTGAGTTCGAATTTCGTTTGGATGAGCATTTTTCTTGAGAATGTGTGATTTATGGTTGTTATCCTGGCAGCTTTTCGATGCCCTAGAAGTGGTTCAGATTCCACTATAGGCTGTAGGTCCCGCTCTTCCGAACCCCGCACAAGTCTCGACTTCTGGGGAGTTGGTTCCCAACTTCGAAGTAGCAATACACAAAATTTTACAAATTCCCAAGAAAAAATCGAAAATTTTGTTGAAACTGCTTAGGTACAAGAAAAATGTATATTTTGAAGAATCATTCACCCTCTGAAAGAATTATTCATTTCGTTCCATTAAAGATATTCCGAGGATACCCATCCCAACAAGTTAGTTACTTAGAGGCTGATGAAAATTCATTCCAATTTGCTGTTTTTTGGGGGGTAATTTTCCAGGAGCTCAAGAGACATTTATGAAATTTCGTTCCAGGACTTTCGTTCTCACCACAATTCCCAAGTTTTACGATTTGTTCTAATTGCTCCTGAAGCACCAAACATACTTTTTATGTTCTATTTACACGCAATTAACACAGTACGAAAGTTACATATCCTCTGGCACTTTTAGGGTTGGAAGACGAGGAAAAACAGGGATGTAGTAAGGGGGACCGTTCAAATTGTATATCTCAATAAATGTTTCATAAATCAATACGTTTCAAGACCACTGAAACTAGTATTTTAGCATATTTGAATGTTTCAAAATTCCATCACACGATTAATTCTTGCAAATCCGAACTGGACAGATGAGAGATAAAGCTATTCAAATAGGAAGAAGCCGAATACTCAAAGTGGGATGAAGTGGTCACAAAGAGGAAGAAACTCGAAGTCATTTTCCTATTGGTTCATAAAATGACCGAAAATGGTAGATAACTAGTGGAAAACAACTACTGTCCTGGCTATATGCCACGCAGAACATTGAATTATTGCATCTTCTGCGTGTCATATAGCCAGGAAAGTAGTTGTTTTTCTCTAGTTATCTGCCATGTTTGTTCATTTTATGAAGTAATGAGGTAAGGACTAGTCTCTCTCTCTTTGTGAGATAAAATCATGTTTAAATCATTATCCACTTGGTATCAGACACTGCTAGACAGTTGACTAATAGACCTCTGGGGACTTAATCTATGCCTCCAGTAAACAGTATCAGTAATCAGGCTGCTCTTGAAGCACTGAGCTTCAGCAAGATTGATTATAAACTTTTATGGAACTTGTATTGAATCCTTGGAGTGGCTTGGTGCTAAGAGATTCACTTTACTGTAAGTGCAGGAATTGAAAAAATATCTCTGAATCCTCTGAATTATCAGCAACGTAGCTTGTTTTATTGCGAATCTCTCTTGAAGTCTGTTGTTCGTCTATAGCTACTGAATTTTGGCTCGTGATCATCGTTCGAATACCTATAAATCACCTTTCTCGTGGCGTCTTAGAGGAGACAATCAGAGTATGAATGGTTAAATTTGAGTTTGAAGAACTGTAGGCACTTTCAATTAAATTCAAATTGAATTTTTTTTTCATTATTCCGGGTAAACTTTTTTCCATTTGTTCCTGAAAATCTACTGGTCACTGTTATCGTTGTCTGGATGTTCATGGAATAAAATATCTGAATATATTAGGAACATACCTCAACTCTTCTCAAACTCTGAATATCGTAATTTTTCAGTAAATCAATGTATGTGGCACTCGGAAGCATTTACACCGATGGCAAAGGCGCTCAAAAGATTCAAGCCGAGACATTGGTCATCAACAAGAAATATTTCGAATCTGGTGGCGGATATGATATTGGAATGATCAAGTTGAAGACGAATGCAAAACTGACCAGAAATGTCAAACTAGTTCGAATTCACACTAATAATGACGAATCTTTAGTTGGGAAAACCGCATACCTGACAGGATTTGGCATCATCAATGGTCGGTAACCTTTATTGGTAAATAAACAACTTAAATTCATCGGAGTCATACCAAACAAACCATGTAGATAGTTTTCCCTTCATTTCCATTAAATCTTCTCTTCTCAACTGAATTGGTATTCATGGATAATAATTTAGATTCATTTCAATTTGTTCATAAAATTTTTATCTGCTGAAGTCTAGTGCATTGAACGAGTACTGTTTCTACTTCTTCATGTATTGATTGCAGTGAAGGTGTTCACAATTCTGATGAGTTGTCATGTGACAGGAAGGTGTTCTGTGATAACTCGAGACTGAATAATTTATATAATTGAAGCAGCTCTTCAATCATTTATCCAGATGATTTCTTCCCATTTGTTTATTGGTTGCCTTCGCACCAATAAAAATCAATTTGGTCTCACGTTAGAATCAACAACACTCACCATGAATACAAATGTATTCCATAGATAAGATTTCCACAAAACTTTAGTGGAAATCTCATCGTTTGTGAAGTTTCTACATTAATTTATCACCCACTAGTTTCTATAAATGATTTTCCAGATTTTAATCAACAACCGATAAGAATGAGAAAAGCTACACTGCACATAGATTCTCCAGCAAAGTGTCTGATGAGCTCCTCACCGTATCCAGAAATTTGTTGCACTTCGACAATAGTCGAAGGAAAAGCTTGTAGAGTGAGTTTCTAAAACTTTTCTCATAGTCCATATTCCCTCGGATGATTTGATTTGCATTCCATCACTCAGAAGTGAAGCAAATTCATTTGATCGTATATATTTTTTTCAGGGCGATAGCGGTGGCCCTCTAACAGTCATCCAGAACGGAAGATACCTCCAAGTAGGAATAACTAGTCATCTATCTGTGCTACCATTCTGCAGAATATCTTTCAATAATTCTGTATACACACGGGTATCGGCCTACATTGCCTGGATATCCAAAGTCACCGGTATAGATTTTGCCAAATATAACCCAAATTGAAAATACCAAAAATGGTTGGTGGTTTCAATATCCTATTCATTTTGTTCTACTAGCGTGAAGAAAAATCAACTTTTCCGCACTCATTTTAGTGTAGAGAGGCGGAAAAGTGAATTTGCAAGTTTTCTGGAGAGTGTACTGATAACAAATGGTCCTTTATGTTAACTTTTGTGGTTTTTCCGCACATTTTAGGTAAACTACTATTTCAGCATTGGAATATTATCATATGTCGAGAATAGTATTACAAAGGGAATACCTCCAACACCAGGAGCCATTCAAGAAAACTTTCATATTTGATGAAACTATAGCTGGATTCCATAGATGATTTTACAACAAATTCAAATAATAACGAATTATCATTACCAGTAGTGAAACACATAGTAATCTCCACAAAGTATATTCTTCCGAATTGAGGACTAGAGAAACATGTTTCGGGCATTTAATATGCCCATCATCAGTCCTATGAGAACAAGTAAATATATTTAATCTCAACAATAATGATAATAATTTTTCTTGCTTTTGATATTTCACTTCACATCAAATTATGGTATTATATAACTTGTTTTTTCCACTCCTCTTTGTATCCATGGTTGCTAGATGTTAGTTTTGAATGATTTTTCTTTACAGATTTACTTTTATGCTTTGACTGATGATGACCGTTTGAACGGTCGAAACATGTCTCACGAAACTGTTATGAAGCAGAACTAACTGCATTTCTCTTATTGAATTTGTGGAGACGACTTTGGGTTTTTGTCTATGATAAGTTAATATATTCTACAAGAAAATAGCATGATCAATTATACAAAATGCTGAAGGCATGGTTGCAAAAGGAAGTTATTCCAAAAAAATGACTCGAATGTTTGGAGATGAAATTATTGACGAAACATGATAAATGAATACAGGGTGTCCCATAAGTAATGCATCAAAAGAAGTGGGGTGGTAGGGGGGGTCTTTTTCAATCAAACTAACCGTATATATGTGGTTATCCAATTATTGATGGTTCAAAAGGTATTAATGTTTTTTCATTCCTATGAAAAGAATTAATAACAATAAAACCGAGAATGAAACTATGCCACACTTGTGATTTTTTCTTTCACAAATTTCATTCACATGGATGCACCTTTCCCCAGAAATAATTTTATGACATGTATTACTTCTTATCAATTACCTGAGAAAAATTTTGTTTTCCTTGAGTTTTGTCAGCGAATGAAATATTCAAGTCGATTTTCAAATGCCGCTGGCAGATTTGAAAACTACCCCACAAAGATAACCAATCATGAGAAAAAGTTGCCCATTCAATACAGATTCCGAAATAGTATAACATATCCGATATATTTCGTAGCTTTTTAATGAATCGCACACAACAGGTGAGGATACAAGATAACCTAAGTGACACTCAAACAATAAACATGGGAGTCCCACAAGGAACTGTTTTGCGTCCGATTCTATTTATTGTTTACATAAACTCGCTCTTGAAAATAAATGTAATGGCTAAAATTGTCTCTTATGCAGATGACACTGTTGTTGTTTTTAGTGCACTGACATGGAATGAGGTGAGAGATAATGTCAAGAAAGGACTTGAAACTATTAAAAACTGGCTTGACAAATACCAACTATCATTGAATATAAAAAAAAACTGAATATATCTCGTTCACCATTACAGATCATTCACGCCCCAACTTCAATAAGATTGCAATAGTTAACATTTCTGAAGAAATTGAAGAGGTGATGAAAATCAAATATTTAGGCATAATTATTGATAAAAATTTGAAATGGGATAACCACATAAACTACTTGACTAACAGGACACGTCAACTGATTTATAAGTTTTATCAACTAAGGGATTTTCTCAATAAGAATGTTTTGATTCATATCTATAAAGCATTGGTGGAATCAATTATTCGATATGGGATATTGGTCTGGGGGTGGTCTATATGCGAGATCTCTTCGGAAATTAAACGTCATACAGAATTACATTCTGAAAGTTATTCATAAAAAGAAAAAGGACTATCCCACTCGTCTGCTATTCAGTAGAGATGTACTTGATGTTAGGTCACTTTATATAAGCAATGTGTGTATATACTTTCACAAAAAAGATAGCTTGAAAAATTTTGTCAATAATATTTATAGAACGCGTAGTGTAGAAGTTAGACATGTTAGAATACCAAAAAGTTCGAAAAATATCAACAAAAGATTTATTAGTTATCTTGGTCCGAAGTTTTATAATTTGTTACCTTTGTCAATAAGGAATTTGAGAAATATAAAAAAATTCCGCATTAGTTGTACAACATATATTGTAGACAATTTAGTTACCTTTCTAGAAATCTTAGAAAATTAAGTTGTTTTGGGTCTATTGCAATATTGTAGAAAACAGTTTTAATAAACTCCAATTTCTATACATCCCCTTGAGAATAACATGTAATGTTCTATATTCAAATTTGCCGCTCACACATAAATAAATATTGTTTATCTCTATGCATATACAGGTGCTTGCACCTAGATGCAAAGTAAAATATTCATATTATTATAATGATAATATTAGATATGGTAAATAAATAAATAAATAAATAAATATGTGGTTATTCGAAACATGCATTTTTGTTATAAATTTTTTCAAAATGGGTAGTATTTTTCAAAAAAAATTATCAACTTTTGAACCATCAACTATTTAATAACAATATATTATACCGTTAGTTTGATTACAAATGACCCCACCTACTACACCACTTCTTCTGATCCATTAATTATGGGACACCCTGTATACATTTGAATATTTTTTATATTTATCATACCTTCTATTCACTCTGGATTCCTTATAGAATGTATGGAAATTATTTATCCTCAAAAATAGATAAAGTCGATAGCAAAAAAGCAATGAAATACGAGAGTGATCAATTTGAAAAAATAAAGAGTAGGTATATGGAATGGAGATATAATGTTAGGAGATCCATCATTTAGACACTTTCAATATGTTAATATCTCAATCAGTTTTTGTGATATCGAGTATATTGAAGTGAGAATTGAGAATTATCAATTTCAAATTGGGACTTACAAGATCCAAATTGCTAAATTCAAAGTAAGGATCAACACATTCGACACAATGTTATTGAAAATGAGCATTTCGAAATTTAGAATAAACAATTTCATATCAGAAAATAACATCACAGTCAACTTGATCAGGTGACAAACTTTTTGGGATTCTCGAATTTTCGAAATGATCAGACTTATTTCCTTTAGGAAATGAATTTTGAGTAGCACTTCTTTTGTATTTCTTGGGCTTCCACCAAAAAAAAATCCTGGGCACGGCCTTGACGACACTCTCCATCGACTCGTGAAGTTACTTCGTGCTCGTGTAATAATAGCTATATTACATGATCATCACAAAAAATACTATTGTGCTATAATAAATTTGGTTTCAAAACACGTGTTTCACAAACAGTTGCTTCTCAAACCGAAACATGACATGTTTCCAATAAATTCGGGAAAATTTGTAGTTTGTTAGTTTTTACAGTTACCTATTATCAATTTCGTCCCTTTTCAGCTCCGTGTGGAACTTCAAATATTATGATAGGATGTTTGAGTAGGTTTATATTCCGGAAACCGCAGAATCCATATATGCATGCAGTAACACCCTTCACATCCTGAGACATTGTGAAAGGAATGAATGACAGCTCAAATATGCTCGACCATTGTCGATCTAAATGGAAACCTAGTTAGGTAGTTAGTAGGCGAGAGCATAATATTGTCTGTTCTTTGAAAAAATAAATGAAGGCGTTCAGTAGTACAGAGACATCAATGTGAACCAAGTAAACTAAGTTATTCCTTTTTAATTCCTAACCCAAACATTTTTCATAGTCCTGTCAAGTTTGTAAATAAAAATCTGTCATGTTGAAACCCAAAAATGAAACATTATCATGAAAGATATTATCAAGTATGAAAACCATCTACCTATACTTGAATGGAAGCAGGGAGATGTTTAGGCAATGCTGTATCAGGTTGACTTATGATGCAACTTGAATTTAAGTTGGAACTGTGGAAACTTCGGAAACTCATCAGTGCATCAAGCAGAAAGGTAGGGGCTGCTTATTTCCTTCTATATTTTTGATAAGTTACTATATAATTCATGAAATTCCGTTATTTGCAGTGAAAACATGTCTTTAGTTATGTAAACTATGTACACATCGGATTCACTATACTTGAAAATTTCAGGTACCTACCTACAGCGAAGAGTACCTACATGAATAGCTTTTCAGTTGAAAAACGAAAAACTATGAGTGATACAAACAGATTGATGTGGAAGAATCGCATGAGGAATTATTATGTGAGTAATGTTTAGAAGAAATGTACCAGAAGGATGATGATGTTTGAGAACAGAATGGAAAATTTCCCATCTGAAATGAATATATAGTAGCAATAAGGTTAGACTCAATCTGTTTATTTCATCAATGTTTTATGGATATTCTGCTCCAAACTCAAAATATCAAGATGCTGGGATATTTAGAATTTTTTTTATTGGAAAATAACTTTTATATGTAGGAATGACAATACAATTATATTTTCTTAATAAATTGAATATAATTATGAAGAATTATTGCAATTTTTATTCTACTAATTTGTTCTCCTCTGATACCCTGTTTATTGTTGTACAGATTTATTGACAGGTAAGTTTGAAAACATTATATATTGTACCAAAGGTAAGTATTTAGGTTAAATATATGTTTTGCTGAACAATGATTATTTTTTATACAATCATCTTATTGAAGCCACTAACTTCACTAAATATGAGAAGATGTGTCTATAATTGCCACAAATTAAACCATAGGAATATTCAATACCAATATGTATAACTTTTTAATTTATATTGTCAAAATTTTGAATAAACATTATTATTATTTATTATCATTCTATAATATCTGTTCAAATGCCCGTTTCCTCCTAAGATGCTTCCTCATCTTCAGGTCGTGTTCCTTAAGGAAGGAGTTTCTCTTCAGCATCATATTCCA